TATGCATGTAGCCCCCAAAATACTCCTAATAATAAGAATCAGGTCAATGAGAAGCAGTAAGTCTAGATTATAGTATGCTTAGAAGAAATGAAACTTTATAAGTTAGTATTACTGTTAGACGAGATATATAAAGTCACCGAAAACCTTCTAAGTTCTCAGCCACAGGTAAAATTTATTTGGGCCTACTTAGCCTATGCATTATTTTCATGTAAAATAGTTAAAGTGAGTTTATAAGTTTCAAACTGTAATATTGTATGCTACACCCTTTTTTAAAAAAAAGTATAAAAAGTTGATATTCCATCACAGCTCATCAAATTATTAAATATTTATGTCAGGGTCTGAATTATATGGGGCTAATGTAGACAAAATATTGAAAACAATGAATTATATGCATTATACTTAGGGCTTATTTGAGTTCTAATGTATTATGTTGCAAAGAAGATATAGAAAGGAAAATAGTACACAATTCCTTACCTCAAGGAATCACAATATTGTAGGGGAAAAAATTCATTAATAACATCATAAATGTTCAGGAAGTACTAGCCACAACAATTAGACAAGAAAAAAAAGGCATTCAAATTGGAAAGGAAGAAGTAAAACCGTCATTATTTGCAGATGACATGAAGAACCCTAAAGAGTCCACCAAAAATCTATTAGAAATGATAATGAATTCAGTAAAGCAGAATACAATATTAATATTCAGAAACTGATCACATTTTTATACACCAATAATGAACTATCAGAAAGAGAGACTAAGAAAACAATTCCATTTACAATTGCACCAAAAACAAAAAACAAAAACAAAACAAAACAAAACAAAAAACACCCTAGGAATAAAATTAACGAAGGTGGTAAAAGACCTGTACTAGGAAAATTATGAGACTGAAGAAAGAAATTGAAGAAGATACAAATAAATGGAAGTGTACACTGTGCTCATGAATAGGAAGAATTAATATCATTAAAATGACCATACTATCCAAAGCAATCTATAGATTCAATAAAATCCCTATCAAAGTACAAGTGGCATTTTTCATAAAACTAGAACAAATAATCCTAAAATTTATATGGAACCACAAAAGACTTTGAACAGCTACAGTAATCTTGAGAAAGAAAAACAAAGTTGGAGGTATCACACTACCTGATATCAAACTATAGTAAAAAGCTATAGCAATCAAAATAGCATGATACTGGCATAAAAACATACATAGGTCAATGGAACAGAACAGAAAGCTCAGAAATAAACCCACACTTGCACGATCAATTAATCTGTGACAAAGGAAGCAAAAATACACAATGGGGTAAAGATAGACTATTCAAGAAATGGTACTGGGAAAACTGAACAGATACATGCAAAATAATGAAATTAGACCACCTTCTTATACCATATACAAGAATAAACTCAAATGGATTAAAGACTAAAATGTAAGACCCAAAACTATAAAATTCCTAGAAGAAATCATAGGCAGTAAATTCTCTGACACTGCTCTTAGTAATATTTTTTTTCTGATATATCTCCTAGGGCAGGGGAAACAAAAGAGAAAAATAAATGAAACTACATCAAACTAAAAAGTTTTGCAAAGGAAATCACCAACAAAATGAATAGACAACCTACTGAATGAGAGAAGATATTTGCCAATGATACATTTGATAATGAGTTAATATTCAAAATTTATAAAAACAACACCAAAAAAAATTACAATTAAAAAATGGGCAGAAGATCTGAATAGACATTTCTCCAAATATAGATGGCCAATAGACATATGAAAAGGTGTTCAATGTCACTAATCATCAGAGAAATGCAAATTAAATCCACAACGGGATATTACCTCACATCTGTCAGAATAGCCATCATCAATAAATCAACAAACAGCAAGTGTTGGCAAGGATATGGAGAAAAGAAAAACCCTTTTACACTGTTGATAGGATTGCAAATTGGTGTAGCCACTATGGAAAACAATATGAAGCTTCCTCAAAAAATTAAAAATAGAACTACCTTATGACCTAGCAATTTCACTTCTGGGTATTTATCTGAATAAATCTAAAACACTAATTTGAAAGATATATGCGCCTTTTGTTCATTGCAGCATTATTTACAATAGCCAAGATATGCAAACAACCGAAGTGTCTAGCAATAGATGAGTGCATAAAGAAGATGCGGTATATATATAAATGGAATATTACTCAGCCATAAAAAGGAGTGAAATCTTACCATTTGCAACAACGTGGATGGGGCTAGAGAATATTATAGTAAGTGTAATATGTCGGAAAAAAGCAAATACTATATATCTCACTTATATGTGGAATCTAAAGAACAAAATAAATGAACAAACAAAATAGAAACAGACTCATAGATACAGAGAACAAACTGATGGTTGCCAAATAGGGGGGTTGGGAACTGGGTGAAAAAAGTGAAGGGATTAAGAAGTACCAATTGGCAGTTATAAAATAGTCACAAGGATGTAAAATACAGCATAGGGTATATGGCCAATAATATTGTGATAACAATATTATGTATGGTGCCAGGTAAGTAGTAGACTTACAGGGGGATCACTTTGTAAATTATATAAATGTTTAACCACTATGGAGTATACTTGAAACTAAAATAAAATAATATTGAATGTCAATTATAATTTTAAAAATAACATTATACATGTTCAGAAGACTTTTATATTATTCATTCTTAATGTTATATGGGGTGAATAGTTGTCCTTTTTGAGGAAAGGACATTTGAGCAGACTTTTACTTGAGTGAAATGAGAAATGATCCAAGCTAAGATGTGAAGAAAGAGCACTCTGGGCAGAAGAATCCCATGCATAAGGGCCTAAGACAATAATGCACTTGGAAGACTGAGGAACAGTAAGGAGGCCACGGTGGAGGGAAGAAAAAGAGAATAGTGAGATGGAAGCCGAGAAGCAAGCAAGCAAGCAAGCAAGCAAGCAAGCAAGCGAGAAAGCAAACGAACAAGCAGGAAGCCAAGTAGCAAGCAAATAGTGAGATGGAAGCCGAGATGCCAAGCAAGGAGCCATGGTGACAGGTATATATTTATTCTAAGTGCTATGAGAAAACATTGAAAGATATTGAGCAGGGGGGTCTCATGAACTGATTTAAGACAATTGCCTGGCAATGAGAAAAAGACAGTCTTTTCAAAAATTGATGTTGGGTCAACTGGATATTCATAAAGAAAAAATGTATCTTGACTCCTATGTTTTATACTAAAAAATAATTCCATATGGATTGTAGGTCTAAATGTGATAGGAAAAACAATAAGCTTTTAGAAGAGAACATAGGATAATATCTTCATGGCCAGTAGGGTAGGCAAAAATTACTTAAACAAGACACGAAAATTACTAAATTACTAAAATTACTAAAGGAAAATAATAATTTGTACTACACTAAATTAAAAAATTTTATTCATTGAAAGATACCACTAAGTGAAAAGGCAAGTCACAAAGCAGATGACGATATTTACGATACATACATTTAACATATAACAAAGAATATAAAAGAATCTTACAAATCAATTAGAAAAGGCAGGAAAGTAGGCAAAGGGCTTAAACAGGCACTTCAATAAGGAGGATATCCGAATGGCCAATAAACCAGAAAACCACAATGACACTCATCAGAATGGCTTTAATGAAAAGATAAATAATACCAAATCTTAGTGAGGATGTGAACAACCGGAACTCTCAAATAATGCTTGTGGTTATAATAATTTTGGAAAATGATTTTTGAAATATC